ATTTATTCTTTAATAATATAAATTAACTACTATTATTCTCTAATAATATAAAGTAATCCATCTCACTTACTGAATTAAAACGGAAAACCAAGAATTTTAAGTTTCTGATGAAGTTTCCTAGTTTTGAACAACATGTATTTCAGCTTTGATCAGAATATGCTGTTACTTTGAAAATATATAAAATATAGTTGTTTTTAAGAGGTTGTTTTGAAGTTCTCAGTGTAACATAGCTAATATGAACTGTAAAAAAATCAGAAGTAAATTGATGTTATGAATAATTTCTCATAATACCATCATTCTAAGTACAGCCCTCTATTAATTATGTATCTATTTGGCTAGTCTGCGTTCCTGATGATTTGTTTTAGTACATAGAGTTCCTACTTACATTTTAAATTATATCATGTCTAAGATATAAATGGTCGCAAGCATGGCACGTATTGGACTCTGAGGACCTCAACACGATTACCAGTTAGCCTACAAAAACATCGAGCGTTTGAACAGTTTGCAATCAGGATAAATAGAACCTTGCTTCTGAAAGATTATTATCAGGTAAAGAAACTGAGCAGCTTTATGCCTTAGAGTAGACGAGCAAATAGGCAGTAAGTTTTCACTGTGATAATTCTAGGTGAATGCATCTTCTCTGAAAGTCTCAGTAGGAGAGAACAAGAGCAGTGGCACACACAGAATTACCATCATTGAAGATCATTCTGGTTTCACCGAGTCTGTAGAAGACTCAGTTCATCTCTGGTCTGTAGTCTCCGAATTCTTAGCCTAAGAGTCCTCAGAAGAGCTTTGAGGAAAGTGAACTCTTTGGCCCTTCATACAGGAGGTGGGGTAGATCCGGAGGCACCAACCCTATAGGAAATAGAGAATAAAGATCTTAGCCAGCTTCAGGGAGGTAGGGATCACTGCTGGGATAGCAGTGTGGCTGTATGACTATGGGCATCATTTACTTTGTGAAGAATTTTGAACTGGTTATATAGATTTATTTTGATAAGACATTAAACCATAACTCACAGAGCCCATTTTGGATATATCTTTGGGCCTAAATACATTGAGGATCGTCACAATTCCTTCACAGAAGCCGCCTTCAGATGGCACAGCATGATCAGACACGTTTATGTGCACTCAAAATGATTGAAGCAAACGTATTTTTTTCAACATTCCAAATGGCATGCTTTTCTCTACATGAGGTTAGTGAGTAACTCTATATATCTCCGTCAAACCATTCAACGTATAAATTAGCAGCAAATCTTAAATCCCATGTAAGTGTTCACACATCTATATGCTGAATGGCTCTCTCTCATGTTGTTTTTTCTTTCTAAAACATATTACTGGTTTACAAATCCATTAACTACTTTTCTTAAGTTTTAGTGACACTTTTAACTATGAAGCATGATATTAGGTTAAACTTGGTAGAAGAAACAACAATGTTACTTTTAGCCTTTAATTAGCTGATAATTATAAATGTATTTTTAAGTGCTCAGCTCCGAAGCTGGTGAGGACACCTAAAGGCAGCGTAATCGAGATGGACACACAGTTCACCATCAGAGCCAGAGAGCTACAGAGCATCTACAAATGCATTCTGCTGAAGAACCTCTCTCAAGATGAGAGGCTGGATGTACTCTTAACGCTTAAACACACTGTGAAGGTATGCTAGCTCTGAGTTTGGGGATAGAGGCCACTATTAATAAAAAAAACTTAATGGAATTCTAACGCACAGTTCTAGAATGTTTTGCATTAAGTGTTATTATTATTATTTTTATTTTTGAGACAGAGTCTCACTATGTTGCCCTTGGTAGAGTGCTGTGGCATTGCAGCTCACAGTAACCTTAAACTCTTTGGGCTTAAGTGATTCTCTTGCTTCAGCCTCCCAAGTAGCTGGGACAAGAGGTGTCTGCCACAACACCTGGCCATTTTTGTTGCTGTTGTTGCCGTTGTCATTGTTGTTTTAGTTGGCTGAGGCCAGGTTTGAACCCGCCGGCCTCAGTGAATATGGCTGGTGCCCTACCCACTGAGCTATGGGTGCTGCCCAGCATTAAGTGTTATTTTATTATAATTTGAGAAATATAAGTTGTATGCACTAATATTTACCAAAAGTTCTCTAAATATATACTGTGAGACATAATAAGTATACACATAGCATTATGAATATTCTAAATATAAGTATGCAATTGTGCAATGAATGCAAATATATGTAAATGTATATCATGAGATGAATACTTAGTTCAATAAAATAGCAATTACCAACTACATACTTTGACTTTTTTCAACAAAATATTTATTTTTAGCATTTTAAAAGCAGCCCCAGTGCATTTTTATTTTTTCTCATCAATTATTGATTTTATGTGGTTTTTATTTTAGCATGCCTGATTTTTTCCTTGTTTGTTAAATGACTGTTTAAGATGCTGTAATTACAGTTGAAGGTCACATGTTAGAAAGGACAGGTGTGTTGAAGGCATAAGTGTGCTCAGAGCCCCGGCTCTTGAACTGGGGCAGGAGTGTATTTATCTGTTTTTAATCCTGCTTTTCAAAAAACATAATTTTTTATTAAATTTCAGATCAATATGAGGGTACAGATGGTTAGGTTACACAGTTTACATTTGTTAGGTAGAGTTCAAGTTGTAGTTGAGCCCTTCACGGAGGGGTGTGCCCATTAGGTGAGAGCTTACCAATCCTCCCTCCTTCTCGCCTTCCCTTTTTTCCTCCCCACCCCTTCTCCCACTTGAATTTAATTGTATTTTTCTCTCATGTGGGGATGTAGTTGTTCATCAGTTGGTTTCATATTAGTATTGTGTACCCTGGATACTTGCTTTTCCATTGTCATGGTACTTTACTAAGAAGCATGGAGCTATCCTGGAGTTCATCCTACTTTCTTTTTCTTTTCTTTTCTTTTCTTTTTTTTTTT